AAAAAAAAAATAAACAGCAGTAGCAAAGAGTATGTTTCATAAAAATATAGAGCCTTATGCAAGACCGAAGAAATAAGGATGAGCTAGTGAGGAATGGGATCAGGAGTTAAAAAGAACCTTACCAAAGATAATGAAGAAAGACACACCTATAGTTTCTGAGGCTGCAGGCATTTATAAAGGTCAATGTAAATGTTGGGTGATCGCAGAAGATGACTAGTATTCCTGTAGGAACTCAAATTCAAGAAGCCTCAATTTCTGCACATGCCTGAAACATCTGAAGAGAGCATCTTTCATATCCTAAAGGTGCTGCCCTCTATAATCAGATGGTCTGTGATATGCATGGCTTACCCCTACCTGGTTCCTCTTACCCACTTGGCACTGGGACTCTCATCTCTTATTTCCCTCTCATTCAGGGCAGTTTCCCATGCTCTAATAGTGAAACTACATCAGACTTACAAATGAAAGACCTGTGAAAATAGGGAGAAAGGATTGGCCATGCTGTTGTTACTTAAGTGTTCTGACACAGCCATATTGTAATAAGGATAGAGGCCATTATAAAACAAGAAAAGTCTTGGTGAATATCTGGCAGATGGGATAAAGAAAGCTGCTCACATTTCATGGAAAATCAGAGCCTCACCAAAGATTCCCAGTAGAACAAGAAGACACATCCAAGATCAGATGCTAAATTAAGGGTTGGATGCACTTACCCACCCAAACCAAATTCTGATAATTCTCCAACATCACTGTAATGTACAAATCTCTTTGAGCAGGGTTCAGTAATCCCCATTCTTCCTTGGAGAAGCCAATGACCACATCTTTGAATGTCACTGATCCCTGAAATGACAAAACACTTTCTTAAAAGAGCCTAATTAAATGATAGGAAGTTGGGAGGCATGGAAAGGAGCTGATCAGAAATCTGTGTCTCTTAAGAGCAGCTTAGCTAAATCACTAAAGGGCAATACTGTGACATACTATTTGTTCACTAAAATTTGGGTGCAGAAAAATATTTAATGATAAGGGAAAAGTTCAAGATAAACAGAGTGATTAAAAAGAACTGAATACCTATCACAGTTGTTTCTAGAATCCTACATATGCACAATAGGAACACATCCAGACTCTGCTGAAAGCCACCTGTAATCAATTCTACTTTAGTCAATCTAAAGTAGATTACGTTTAGTGGATCTCTAGGAAGACTATCAGGCTAATTCACTCTTTCTGCCAAAATGAAATGCAGTCCCCCTTTCCTTGAAACTGGGTTGGGCCTACAACTTGCTTTAATCAACAGAATGTGACAGAAGTGACTCCATGCCAGTTCCAGGTCAGAAACTAAGAAGGCTGTTTTACCCTCATGGAAGCCAGGGAAGAAGTCCAGCCATCCCACTGGAAAGACCATTAAGAAGCCAAATGAAGACGGACAGGTTCTGAGACTACAAGAATAAAGCTGAGGAACCCAACTGGCAGCAAAAATAGAGGCCTAGACACAGGACCTACATATAGGCCTTCCAGTTAGGTATCACACTTTGAATGAAGAGGCCATCTTGGGTATTCCAAGCCAGCAGTTATCAAATAACAGGTAAATCATTCCTATCCTGCCCAGTTTGAATTCCTCACCCCCAGAAACATAGGAAATAATAAAATGGTCCTTGCTCTAGCTACTACTACATTTTAGGTAGAGTTTGTTAAGTAGCAACAAACGTTAAAGACATTTAAAAAGAAAACCTCTGGCCCAAAATGGTGTCACCAAAATGGTGTCACTTAGGCTAAGTCACCAAATCGGTGCTTAATAACTAACCTAAATGCACTTTCATCCTCTCCCAGAAATGTAGTCTTAACCTGTCAGGCAGGAACTTTCTGGTCACAACAGTAATCGGTCACATGGGACTCTATCCCCCAAAGGAAGAAGAGATAATCTACCTAAGACCTCCTGCCCTTCCCTCAAGGGAAGATGGCCTTGCCTGGAACAACCCTTTCTTTTCTTTTGCTAATAACTTTCTCAACCCATCCCCCTTCCAATATAAACCTTCCACTCCTCAGTGCTCCCTGTACTCGCTAGTTTGCTGCCAGATTCATGAATCATTAAATAAAGTCAATGAGATCTTCAGTTTACTCAGTTGAATTTTGTTTTTTAACAGTGCCTCCGAAACCGGAGCAGATGTGTCACCTCATCTGCCTCCATCCGAGCCTGCAACAGGAGCAAGGAGTTCCATCTCCAGCCGCTTATGGAGAACGAGTCAGGGAAGGACGGAGGATGCCTTGCTTATAGCTAGTCTTCCTTTCCAATCGTCCGAGGCTTCATTAAATCTTTTTTTTTTTTTAAGATTTTATTTATTTATTTGAGACAGAGAGAATGAGAGAGACAGAGAGCACATGAGAGGGGGGAGGGTCAGAGGGA